AGCCCCAGACGTATGCAGCCCACCCAAATACAGATCACAGCTGCAGGGAGCTCCACCACGCTCCGCTAGGAGGAGGGCGGCCGGGGCCGGCTCCACAGTGCAGCAGCATTGGGCAACGCCAACTATATACATTGACCCATTTCGATGGGTGACGCATCGTGCCAAAGTCGCGCCCGTTCGCTGTCGAATTGGCCACAAAGCGACACGCTTCTTTTTGCGCTCCGGCTACTCCCGCGAGACGAAAAAATAAAACTGAGAATGGAATCCAAAACTGTTTGACGATGATCGCCTTTGCTTCGCCAAATTTGGAGGCGTCAGCGATAGCAGCGCGAGTCGGCGTCGCCGCACAGCGGGCCACGGTGCAAGTATAGTGCAACGGTAGCGGGCGAGGTGGGCGCGGCGGGGCGGGGCTGGGCGGGCCGTTATCGCCGCGAACATGACCTATGGCTAACGCCTGCCTTATCACACTATCGCCGGCGGGAGCCGTCCTCAACGTGACTGATATTGCCTTCCTTCCACCGCAAGGCTGACTGCCACCAGCCGAAATCTTCCCTTCGTATTTCCTTGCACATTCCCCCCCTAACCCGGCCAACCCTATCCTCAGAAATACATAGCTCTAATGGATAAATGAGAGGTTGTGTTCAAACCCACTTTTTTAAATATTTGCCTAAAATATTTACCTCTGCTTATCTCGAGGCTCAACCGCACGCACGGCAATACGCCCACTCGATTGTTGCTCATCTTGTCACTATTATTCTAACACTGTGACGTCACATTCAAACGACTGTGACTTGTGTCGTGTCACATATCAGTAGGATGTGTCACGTTCCTTTTAACGTGACAGCTACACATGCCATGCATATGGCCTGTGAGGAGGCAAAAGGTAGGTCACATTTTAACGAATGTGACATGATATTTTATGAAACGTGACACAATTCACGTTTGATTGAATGTAACATCACGGCGTTTGAACAGTGTATTCTTACTTGGCCGAATTACGACCCGGATTTCGTGTCTAGTTTCTCCACCTCCTTCACGTGTCTTTCTCGTTCGCCCTACAGGTTTGGAACGGGTCGCTGAGGAGTTGATGGGAAGGCGGAAATGGCGGCAACTGGGAACCATCGGGACCTGGGACGACCTCGACACAGCCTGCCCTGCAGACGGCCCCGCGGACCCCAAAGGGTCGCCGCGGCCCAACGGGCCCCAAGACTTCGAGCCCCAACAAGAGTGCTGCTTCTGTGACGCCCCGCTGGTACCCAGCACAGTAAGTGCATGGCCGTATTATTATGTTTTTGTTATGTAATGTTTTTCGATGTCCCTTTTATTTTCTTGTACTAGGCGCCGAGTACTATCTACCCGAAATAATTGACTTGGGTACCCCGAGCGACATTATGGCGGTAAAGGGGGTTTTCTTTGCCCGTACGAAAAAGTGCCGCATTGTGTCCTGGCCTTGACCCCGTTGCATGCGCCATACGGCCCCGTGGCCGCGCACTCATGAGTGCTTTTCTTTCCGCGAGGTCGCCAGACTAGACGCACGCTTTGGTATCGAGGAGAGAGAGGGAGGGGAAAACAACAGTTGTCGTACGCCCTTGACTCGGGCGGCTAGAGTCGGCCGGATCGGGGCTGGCCTACTATAGCCATGCCAACTGCGTGCGGCAGATAACTGCACAGAGAGGGCGGCCAAGACGAATCTAGGGGGCGGGGGCAGGCAGGGGCGGGCATAGGGTGCCCTAAGGGGGCTAGCAGAACCATTTTGTTTATCAAGAGGGACTGTCTGATTGGCACAAGCCGCTAGCTGCTGCTCACCTGACAACTAAAAATCACAACAAAAATCGGTTCGTCACCAACCATGGCACCCTGCCCTGCAGCCCCGAGCACTGAGGGAACCCACCCACAACGTGCAACTACCAAATAGTCAAGGTCCGCGGAGGGTCGGGAGGGGTTCTATGACGACCAACGTGCCTTGTCTGTGAAACGATACTTAAATTATTATTATTCCATTAGGGTGGCCAAAGGGCCAAAGGGTGGCCATCACAGGCTTATTCGTAATGAGGTCTTTAGTTTCGCAACTTGACACGTTGAGTGCGGCTTGACCTACGCCGAGGATGCAAATAACATGGGAGTCGCCTACCCCCGCCACACCTGACGTGTTAAGGACCTATCTCTAACCCAATAATGCGAATACGAATAAGATCGAACAAACACATCTATAATGCAGCACATACCTTGTCGGGGTCTGCACTTTTCGCCGTGTCTAAAAAAAAAGCAAGACACGGACTTTATTATCTACCTTTTTCATTATTGCGAAATGCCTCACGATGTACTTGGCCTTCCGCAGCGCATCGCCTCCGACAGCGAGGACGACAGCGGCAGCGTGGCGAGCGAGGGCGACGGCAGCGTATGCCTCCCCGCCAACATGACCACCCTGGAGGCCGTCACGTCCATGGCGGCGTCCCTGGCGGCAGTGGCCGCCTTCAAGTCCTCGCAGGGCAGCAACTCGACGGCCACCTCCACCGCGAGCGCCAGCCCGCAGCCGCCGCAGGGCCTCTACCCGCTGGGCCACCACGGGCTCCTGCCGGCATGGTGAGTACCAAGGGGCCCGCCCTCGGGCCCGCCCTTGCAGCCGACTGCAATGGTGTCGGGTTTAGAGTCCCCCCCCCCTTTTCTCCTCCTCTCCACAGAACACTATACCCCTTCCCACTCTCTCCTCCAACCCTCATGGGTTTTTCATGCAACGCGGCCAGAGCAACACGCACACTCACCCTCGCGCCGCGCGGCACCGCCGCAGCCACAGTAGCGTGCCCAGAGCCTCTTTAGCCCCGAGTCACCAACATTCAGCGATGGAAATCTAGCAGTGCACCGTACGAAAAAAAATCTGCAAAGGAAGCAAACACGGAAAATTAGTAGCTGCGCCCGCGAAACAACCCCCCGGACCACCAAACGTGTGAGGTCGACTATGATGACGACGGGTAGCGTCATCCACCTCCCCTCAAGAGTTTTTTCTCTTTTTTTTTTTTTTTTTTTTTTTTTTTTGCGGCACAATGCTTTCCCCTTTTCCAGATATTTCAAAAACACCGGTGTCCTCCGCCGAGTCCAGTCCCTCCCCTCGCTCCCCGGGACGAGGCTGGCGGCTGGTTTAATTCTCTAAACGAGGCAGGCCTCTGCGGGGGGAAGGGGCGAGGGAAGCTGTACAGTCTAGATAAAATAGTTGTACCTTCAAAGTAGAGCGCGCCGAGCCTAGCTGGGGTAAAAGGGGAGGGAGGGGCGACCGGCGCGCTCACGCACACACGCGCGCGCGTGCACTGGGCTGCACCGGGCGGGGCGGGCGGGGCGGGGTGGGGTGTGCAGTGGGTATTACCGACTCTAAGCTAGGCTAGCGCAGCCTAGCGGGAGTCTAGCGGAGACTAGCCTAGAACACGTTGATGGTGGCAAACGTCATGCAGCTTCTGTTTCTGGTGCAGTTGTGACACAGGAGATTGAGGCAGTGTATCAGTGTGTCGGTGGACCGATGTACCGAAAACAACTAACAGCGTCTAAGCGTGCAGCACCTGACTTTGTCATCACAACGTGAAACAAAGAAAATTAGAGAAAACGGGAACACCGCCTGCGCCACTCAGACTCTCCATAGTCCCGGTGAAGAGAGTAACCGCGCGCAGGGACACCCACATTTTATTCGGTGAATTCTATGTCCCTTATCGGACCTTTA